ATAGTTCGGAACTTCTCATTTGAGTGGATTTCTATTTCTTTTGGATTTTTGTTTTTTAAAAATCGTTTTGTGTCGAGAGCGTCTTTTTCCTGTTTTTGTCACCCACGGACGTGCTGTTCGAATGCCATTTGTTTGTGATGTGGAGGAAAAAAATGACACCAATATAAATCATTTCTAAGCCTTTTCCACCATGAATTGAGTCCAGCTCACCAACGACCCAACATGAGGACAAGTGGTCGCGACAATGGTTGGATGGATGGATGGAGCAGGTGCTCTTTTTCCTCTCAGTGAGGTGAGGACAGTTTTGACCCTTCTTACCGTCTCAGGGACGTTCTCAAAGATCTCCCTGGCCTCCTCCCGGTTGCACAGCTCCTCAATGCACTCCCTCTCCAGGTTGCCCTTCTTGCGCTCCTCAAAGAGCGAGTTGGCCCTCTTGCGCCGGCTCAGGAAGTGCGATGCTGTGCCCTTGCTCAGAACTGGAACACACATGAAAACACGCGCATGAACACACGTGTCAACAAAAGAGTTGTTGGTACTTTCGGAACAACAAGAAGTTCCCGCATACGGGATTCATCCAAGAATCCGCGCGGCTTCATGTTACAATAACATATGACTGATGCGAGCAGGAATTTAGTCATGTTTGCTCCTGACAGATGGCAGATGGAGCTGGAGCTTGCATGGAAGAATTGGCCAAGCCAAATTGCTCTTATATGAACTGGCCTGGAAAAAAAAAAAAAAGAGAGGTCATTGCGAAACTGAGATTTCCAAGAAATGACCTTTTGTTAGAATCAGCACCTCGTGATGTGCACGCGTAGTTTGAATCTTAAAACGCACTTTGTGTTCACTCCTAAGAGTTAGCGGTCACACACACACACACACACACAGATACACACAAAATATATCTATCAATGAAGTTTCTCCAAAGTGGCTCAAGACAAGAACTGTTGGGTCTGAATCGAAACGGTCGCAAACTTACATCTCGAAGCTTCGGCGAACGTCAGCAGAAAAACGAGACATGCCGAGACATGATTTTGCCTCCACATAGTCGAGTCGTTTCGTCCCGCTAGGCCCAACTCGGCTCCGGTAAAAGACGGACTTCAAACCTTATTCTTCCCGAAAACTGAGAGAAGCCGCGGAGGGTGGGGGGCAACTAGGGGCAGTCAAGTGCTTGCCTGTGTTGTCTTTGTGTGTGTGTGCGCGTGTGTGTGTGTGTGTGTGTGTGTGCGCGCGCGCACTAACTGCTGGTGGGTGGAACTCGTGCAGAAAACAGATTTACTCCACACAATGCACGCCGGGAGGTCAGCAGCTCCACAATGTGGGCCGGTGGGTCGTCAACAACAAACCCTTCGGTGGGAATTTGGGATCAGAGCGGCAACAAAAGTATTGACGCTCCGTATGCAAGTACAAGTGCAGATAGACTGCTAGGGAAAGTATTGCGGTACAGCACTCATTTAGCTCAAGGAAGAGTAAAAAAAAGAATAAATGCAGATTCTGAAACTTCAGTACAAAAGCTGAGAGCTGAAAATAGTTTCCCTTTTAAAACTTACTAGATTAATGATACCTGAAAAAAAAAAAAGTACAACTTGATGCTTGTAATTTTTAGGTTGCCAATAAGACACACCGCCGCATCACCATGAATCCATAATGGAGCAGACAGCATCAAAAATATGATCTGAAATGAATTCACGGTTGGGGAATACTGTACCCCTCTTCACCGAGTCTGTTATGTCATCCTTGTTCACGGTCGCATGGTGTTTGTTTCCGCCATGTCACTGTGGTGGTGCTCTGCCAGTTTCTTTCTGGCTCCCAATCACAATTAATCAGTCAATCAACAGCTGAGTTGACCTCTTTGTCTTTTTCATTATGTTCATGTTGGAAAAAGTAACAAGCCTTTTTGGTCAAAGGAGTAGAAAGTACAGGCATCTGATTACTGTATAAATGTTGGGAAGTAAAATGAAGTAAAAAGTCATCAGAAAATACATTTCCAGATGCCTGAAAAATCATTAACGGTAACAAAATAGTGCTATGGTGTTCATCTTATCTACTTATTGGGTAAATTAGGTTTCAGGGGTTTTTTGTTGTTTTTTTTTGGGGGGGGGGTGAAGAGAAAACTCCACCCTAACTAACAGTTTCTGCTGTCACTTCAGCCTTCGTCGGCGCTGCCACTGCTTCCTTGTGATGTGTCTTAAAAAACTGTCAGCTCGCTAAGAGTTTTTCTCTTCACCCTGTAAAAAAATGCCTGGGGGGGGGAAAAAAAAACTTTAAACCTAAGTAACAAAATATTTGTAGATGTTTACTTCCCACCAGCCGGGGCACATTATACATTCTTATTTGTCGATGCTGCTGACTAAACGTATGCTCTAACTTTTCAAACGTTTGGGGTCAATGAGGTGAGCTATTCTTGATCTTGGCCCCAAGACTGGCTCTGAAATAGCAGTACTTTTTCCTCAGGATGATCAAAAGCAAAATGATGAGTGAAAAAAAAAAAGCAATGATGTCATGACTTTGATTTGACAGAAAGATCAAAGCACTCAACAGGCACCCCATCAGATTCCTGATGCCTCGTATCCATTGTTCACGGCCTCGAGGACGTGAATGTATTTGGATGGTGTGCAAGCGGTGCTCTGACATGCGCTTCTGTGTTATCGTCCTTAATTACGCCGCAATTTGGAGTTCAAGGAATGCTTTGTCCTTCCAGTTGATTTCCCATGACTTGTGTAATATTTGCACCGTGCTGGCCCAACAACTAACAAATACCCACCGAATCATCTGGAAAATGTTAGGAAAGCATCAAAGAACATGGGGAAGTTCTTCCAAAGGTTTTCGAGTCAAACAGCGACGTTTCCAACTGCGCGACTGAACGAAACAGGCCATGAATTTGCCTTTCTCTTAAATGTTGTCGAACTCTTTTTTCGTGTTTGAAAGTCAAACATGCGAGGACAACTAAATAGGGAGCTTGCGTGAGTTTCGCAAAGATCATAACATGCATACCGAGTACCGTCACTACAACCTTTCATTTGCAAAAATGCCAAATCTAAAACAAAATAAGAAAGAGAACGAAAGAATGGGTCACAATGCTGATGAAATGGCGAACAAACACTTTGGGCTCTACTGAAGTCTAACCGAGTTATTTTGACAAATGACACGGATACCACTTTTGCATGAATATTTTCATTTAGTTGTTAAGGGAAATAAAAGCACAGTACATTTCACCATTCATCCCACTGTTCTATATACAGGACACTGACAATGGGCTATATTTTACTTTCTTAAAATATTTGGACAAAATACAAATAGATATGGATTTTATGTGTTGTTAATTTGCACATGGATGGGAAAAGGTCGATATTATTGCAAGGTCGATTAAAAAAAATAAAACACCGTTGCGGAAATCAGTCATTTGTTGGCTTCAGAGTGGCAAAGTTGCAGTTACTTGAACGACTTTTCCCCCAAACTCAGCTGATGTTTGCAAGGGTAAAAAAAAAAAAAGAAAAAAAAAAAGAACATGACTGAATGAGCTCGGTTGTGTGGTTTGTATTCAAAACCTGAGGAGTTAGTAGACACAAGTTGCACATTTGGCCAGAATTAATTAGGTTCCATGAGAAAGAACTGTGGTACGACATATCTATCCATGAAGAGCAACGGGAACAAAATAAGACAGTTGCCGCATGTGATTAGCATCATGACAGGCGACAGTGATTTTTTTTTTTGTTGTTTTTTAAAGTATATTTCACAATTGGCATGCTGCCTTCTCACCACTAACACTGGGTCGAAAACTTGGCGAGTCAGTTATACGTTCGCACGCCCACACACACACGAAACATTTCAGTCTTTCAACTCTGAGTCAAATTCAGAGAAACAGCTAACTACTGAATTCATATATATATATACACACACACACACACACACACACACACACACACACACACTTTTTTTACGGAGGATTTTATAGATGTTTTCAAAAAAAAAAAAGACTGGCACTGACCACAACGGTGGGGAGACGACCAGGTGCTTACATTTGGAGATACGAAGAAAGCATGTGAATGTTTTCTTTTCACCTGATTGCACAGAAGTGACTGGAGACTGCTGTGAGTACACATGCAGTGGTTTGGCAAGAAAAAGCACAGTAATGACACAGTGATGAGAGGTTGCAAGGACAATACACACACACACACACACACACACACCACACACAAAAGTGTGTGGAAGATTAAAATCCGGTACCTTTGAGGGAATATGAGGTGCAAGCTTGGCAGCAGGCAGCCTCTCAAATACGTTGGACACTACAGGTCCATGTTTCCATGGCAACACACAGGTAGGCAGCCGATAGGCAACACAGCTAGTCACAACGAAACCCATTTCACAATAGCTTGAGATGGGTCGAATGTCAGATGTGGTCGTCAAGAGTAAAGCGAAAGACAAATCTCGGTTGCTCGAGATGTGTGTGATGTCACTCGTTTCATAGCTGAGGGAGAGTTTGCTTCTGTCTTCAAACCAAGACAGAAAATCAACAATTGGATGCCATTCCTATGAATCTCTGCATCCAGTTTGGCAGGTGGCCAATAAAAATGATTGCGAAATGCACGAAGCATTTCGTATGTAGCTTGACACCACCTCCGTCCCGGCGCCGACGACCTCCAACAACGAAGTGATGCAAAGCCAACGGCTGAGGCAATCGTTGAAACTGCTCGCACAGGAACCAAAATAGGCTCGCAGGTTTTTTTTTTTTTTTTTGGTTTGGATTCAGTTCAACATCAGATCTCACTCAACCGGCCAGGGCATGACTTCAAAACACTCCGGAAAATAAAAGCTCAGCATTTGTTAGCGCGCTGATGATAAATGACGGCAGTCGGTGCCAGGGAAGTATCATTTTGCTCACATTTCCAACGCAGCAGGCTGCGCATGGTCCCGAAAAGACATTTTTGTCAGCTATCTAATTTGTAAAAACAAACAAACAAACAAGCAAACAAAAAAAAAAAAAACCCCAGGAAATACTGTTGCTCCTTCTGAAGTTTTGGTCTGTGAGATGTGATATACGAAGAAATATGACATCAACCAAAGTACAAATGAAAGCCATGAAATATAGCTTTTGAAAAATGTGCGGCGAGTCTTGTTGGTGCATTGATTTGGAGGTGATTAAAGTGCGTGTCTTTCACTGTCAATGCTGTCCAGTGAAAAGTTTGGTTCTGTCATCACATCACGGGAAGAGTGAACAGTTCTTCAACTTCTTCTTCTCCCTCCTTGACTTCTGTTCCCCTTCTGTTCGAAATGATCTGAGGTCAGTTTCTCCGTATAGGTGGAGTGTTGCATCTTGAGTCGTCCCGTTTCCCGTTCGGAAACGTCCAACTCGAGTTTTCCCTGAATTCAACACATCCGGCGTGAGCCACTTCGGAGCGGACGGACTGCGATTTACAGTCGAGTCCAACGCGCTGACTCGGAACATCACGGGAGGAGTCTCAAGACTCTGCCCGCCGGTCAGATGGAGTAAGTGGAGCTCTCTGACTGCTGACGGATGTAGCACTGGAAACTCTTGTCCCCGATTGGATGTTCTCTGGGGAAACAAGGAGAACTCACGGTTAGATGTTACAAGACACGGGATTGATCAGGAGTACAATTTCACGTTCGGATGAGCTCCACTGCAAGCGCGGCAAAATGATGCCTTTACAAATATGATCGTGCTCAATTTTGATTGAAACTGCACCGTATCAATGAAATAAGAAACATTTCATCACGATCATGAGCAAGCCATTATGTTGGATCTATTTAGATTGTGCAGGTGTTCCTAATATTGTGGCCAGCGAGCGTCACATTCATGGCTGGCATACTTCACCGCAAAGCCGCTTTTAGACGACCCGTAAAATAGTTTCCAAACCATTTTGGAGCCAAAGCGCATATTTAGAATGACAATGTTCGAAAAAAATGTCCCAAAAAAGCAAATACAACACAAATCACGACAGTTTCGTCTGAATTTCACAAAACCACAAATCTACACAAATTTATTTTGGAGTCAGCCAATCCTCCATGAAGCGTCTCCAGTTGGTCCAAAATTCTGCTAATCACCTCTTGACTGGTACTCGTAAGAGGGAGAACATAACCCTTCACTGGCTCCCTGTACATTTTAGAGTTCTTTTTAAGATCCTATTATTGGCCTCGGGTCTGCGCACTAGAAACTATTCGAGGTACGAGAACTAAGCGGAGGGTCAGAGGGTATCGAGCCTTTTCTGTTGCTGGAATGACCTTCTGCTGAACGTGAGGAAAGCCCCCTCATTGCCCATCATTAAAACTCGCCTTCAAACTCATTTTTATTCTTTGGCTTTTGACTCAGCATGATTTTTAGTTTGACTGTTTTTTTGTGCTTTCTACTGTCTTCGTTATTCATTTATTGTTTTGTTTTTGTAAGAATTATTTTTGCTCCATGTATCCAGCGATGTTGGTTTTGAAGCGCTTCATGAATACAGCTGCATCGACTTGAGAATTGTCCCTCCTGCCATCAAGTGAAAGGGCAGTTAACTGTAAATGAGGAATTTTTGGACCAATTTGATCACATTGAGTAAGCGGAATACCTGATGATTTCTCGCAGCACACTGGTTGGGAATCATGTTGTAAACACCACAATTTAAAAAAAAAAATGTAATTGTCAAGCCGGACCACGTACTGGCTGCCTATCTTGGTCTTCTTGAACTTGTCTCGTTTGTACTTGGTATGCTGCTGCTCCAAAGTCTGCACGGCTGAAACGATCTGCTTCAGGGTTTTGTAGGTCTCCTGGGGATCGTCAATGACAAAGCTGGAGTATTCCTCCTGCTCGGGTCCGTCGTACACCGACTTGCTGCCGCAGGCCTCTGCAGACCGAAGGGAGAGCCAACCAAAGAAGCGAGAGCGTGTGAGGTAAGACAAACAGCTGAACGCAAACGCACATTTGCCCTTTCTGACCTTCCATCTTGATCAGTTTGGTCATGTATGTGCTGTAGAGGGAATAGATCCTCTCAGTCTCTCTGTCCCCGTCGACATCCAGCTGGATGTTGGCTGGGAGCCTGCTAGAAACAGATGCACGCAGGACCGTGAGAGAGCAAAAGAAAAACGATAATGACCACCCAGAGAGGATTTTTTTGGACAAGTCCACACACCCGGTGCAGGGCATACAGCCAGGCGCCGCTTCGGCCGAGAGCTTGCAGCAGAGCCAGTGGCCGTTGAGGTAGGCTGAAGGATGATAGGTGCTGAGACGCTTGTGGTTGCATTGGCTGACTTTGGTCAGGATGTCGATCCAAGCTTGCGCCTCGACGCAGTTGTTGGCTTGGATGTAGAGGGCCCGCTCGTACTGGATCACCTGGAACATCTGCACCGAACCGCACAGGGAAGCCATGATTCATTTGAAAGTTTTCTCGAAATCTGTCAAATGGCTTTTTGTTGGGCTCTGACATTTTTCATCTTGAATGACTCCTCCTCCAGCCTTTCAACGGCCAGGATGTTCTCGATGGGAATGCTGCACAGCGCGCCCTCTCCTGGAAGCAAGAGGTAATGCATGACGTGGGGTTCTTTCAGTTGGGGATTTCTGTTCTAGGTTTCTTTTTTAAATACATTTGTCATAATTATCACCAGCTGACAACACATACACACACTACTCCTCACGCCATATATAAATATATATTTTTTCATTTTTAATATTACCATTAAGTAGAAAGCAATTACAGAAATACACTTGAGCATAGACGCTCCTTTACTTTTTAAAAAAATAGTATCTGTCATCATGTTTATGTCTGACCAGTCAGTACATCAGAAAAATGTGTGTCGGTTTTAATTATTGCACCGATAACACATGACAAATTGATCGGAATTGAGAAAATGTTGAAGTCTTCAAGTGCCGTGTTGGTTGTACAGGTTGGTTGATTGATTCCAGCCTCTTGCCGTTTAATGTGCACAAGGAAGACGCTACCTTTGGTCTTGTGGTACGTGAACTCGTGGTTGGTGAGACGAAACCATCTCTTTTTAAAGTTTTTCATTCCGAATCGGTTTCTTCCTTGCGCTCTCTTTATCATAAATCTGAAAGGAAAAAAAAAGAGAGAGAGACATTCAGCTAAAAATATTTATAGATGAGCCCGAGCTCAAGGTATTTAGGGTGGGGAGAGAGAGAGAGAGAGAGCACTCCTACGTGTTAAATATGTCGTCCATATGTGCGTTTGCCGTACAACTCGCTGATGTACAAATTGCAGTACGCAGTACACATGTGAAATAAACTCATTTTGTCAAGTGAGGAAAAGTAAAAGGATGCGCTTGTGCTATTTGGCTCAAACACAAACCCATAAAATGGAACGTCAATGCAAAACTAACTCACAACTTGGGAAAACGTTTCATCACATCGATAGGAGACCAGGACAAACAGTGCCGCTTTTGGCATGACATTCGCCGAATACGAAACCACAAGCTATTCGCAAGTGCAAGTAATCACCGCGTGGCGGTTTGTGAATCCCAAATGTATTTCCAGTTTATGTTGACAACTTAGCAACTGGCGCTCGGATTCAACGGTGGGAAAATTAGAAACAGCGCACTCTTGAAAACTGCCAGTGAGATTAATAGCGCAGACGTCGCTAATTGACAAAACATGTATCGCAGCATTGAGCACAAGAGAGACTCGTATGTAAGCGCCAGACTATTTAGGGGAAATGATGCAACGAGATTCCACAGTGAGACTTGTCTCTTTTTCGCATTCCTGAGCCCCGAGCGTGCAGATTTTCCCCCGGTGCCAAACCGTTTGGAGCAGTGCTGGAGTGTCTCATGTACAGCGATAAGGTGACAGTGGAGACAAAGAGTACAAAGGGGTCAGGATGTGGGCCGATATATGAGAAGGCAGGAATGTGCGTACAGTAAGCAGTTCCCGCTGTCACATCTGGCGTGATGAGGAACGCGAGGGGCTACCAATGTTCAAGCGAGTCAAATAAGAAGGCTTTTAGGGCTTAACGTGAGACACCTTTGCAGTCCCCATGCACGTCAGTCTGCTTGGCGCGCGGCGTCACCCAAAAGCTGTCACTTGATTTACGTGCGGCGACATAAAAACCAAGCGCAGCGGTTTCTAAATGTGTCACGGGGGGGAGAGGAGGTGGACCACTTGGGGAGGTTTTAGAGTGCACACACGAGGGGTCACGAGGGCAAAGAGAAGCTCTTACCTGCCCTTGGTGCCTTTTGACCCCTTCCCATCAACCCTCTTTATTGTGACTTTTACACTTCTACTCCCGGTAGCAGTAAAGACAAGAGGGCGGGGATGTTGGTGAGTGAGGCGGGAGGAAACTAACTTTCCCCTGAAGCCTCGTTAAAAAGCAGCATTGAAGTGAGAGCTGTGCACAAAACGACTCCGTTCGTATCGGTAAAAATATTCATTTTAGCTCGGGCACAGATGCAGTTGTCATCGGGAAGGGACAGGTCAACGATAGTCGTTAAAACAGCACTGAAATGGTCTACGCGGAGAAATATCACGTCAAGGCAGCATACCCCTCTTTGAGCATGATTGGTGTTTCAATACTCTTCTGATCCCACTTCCCTGACGTCGATATGAGGTCCAGAAACTGTGGAATGAGAACAAGTGTCACCAACGGTTCTCGAGAGTAGATGCTAAATAGTAGCCTACATTTTTTGTGTTGTCAAGAATCTTAGGACACAGGGGCTTTTTTTAAAAAATAATTTTCTCAGTCAATCAGGGGTTGGGAAAAGGGGGGAAAAAAAATTCAAGGAGACAATGTGAAGTCCTGTGAAATTTCTCAACATTAAACATACATTATTTAATATTGGATGTTGAAAAAAAAAAACAGACAAAAAAACGCCCGACTCACATTCTTCACAGCATCGGCATACTTCTGCTCATTGAAGTACTCATAAAATGCTGCCATGTAAGCCTCTTTGAAATTGGCCTTGAAGAAAGACGTGAAGAGGCATCGGGGGGAGAGAAAGCAATCAGACAATGTCGTCAGGATTGAACCGTTGAAAAAACATCACCCCCCCCGTTTCGGTTGGAGAAACTCACGGATTTTGACGTGGCGAGACTTCCCAACGTCTGGATGGTCTTGGAGATGAGGGTAAGCGTTCGGGAGGTGGCGGGATCCTGCGGAACCAAATAACAACAAAGATGAGCGTCGCTAGGACGCATCACAAACGGCAGACAACAAATGACCAACCGGTTTGCGTGTGAGATTGTAAACCGGCAGGCAGTCAATCCAACTCACCGGGTGGTGAGGCCGTAACTGAAAGAGGTTGGGCGAGAGGATGGCCGGAGCGAAGAAACGCAGGAAGATGAAACTGCTCACTGCTGTGTATCGGACATCTTGGTCCACTAGAGGAAAGAAAAAAATGGATTCTCATGTCTGTGCGACATGACACCTGACATACTGTACATTTACGAGTCACGAGATTAGATACAAACGTCACAATCAAATGAGGCTTGACACGAAACGAGAATTTCAGCCTTTCCAAACAGACGTTCATGGTAAAATAAACAATGAATGTTTGTTTCTTGTTGGACTTTCAGTTCTCTTTGGCTCATTTATCTCTGTAAAAGCAGTTCTTATGTTTGGACGTCAACAACAGATTGCACAATTTTGAGGACAGTTAAACAAGCACTGTCAAAACCAGTGAAAAAAATGACACCTGGGCCAGCAGCTCTCATCTACCACCTTCGGATAAAACAACAGCGAGTATCAGTCGCAGTTTGTGTCTGAGCGGTACGAGAGAGCAGGGCAGAAATGTGAGCACTTTTACGAAGGCCTGCTTATTTTTCAGAGGAAATGTTAGTGAGCCTAAAGCTGAGCGGGAGGTTAGAAACAAGACCCCTGGGGGATGTTGTGCATGCGTGGCAAGGAGAAGTCGGTGATAAATTGATGATACACGAGCGAGGAGTTTATGGAGACGTCCCCCCCGTCTCCGCACCCTGACACTCGTCCGAAGGGTTTTACTTCGTTGGAAAGTTTTTTGCCAAAATAGCTCAATGATAACAATGTGAACTTCTTTTTTAAGTGTAGTGTAATATTTTGACAGTATTTGTAATTGTGAGGAACTGCATTGCATCATACTGAAAGTTGTTTTGTATTTGACCAGCGCAGATAGCCCATTGTAGAACAAAAATGCGAGAAAGAAAAACAAATACAATACTATCACTACCACAAATGAAGACAATGATTGAAGACTTATTTCAGTTCATGTCCATCTTACCTTAAATCTTTTTGATGTACTGATTACTTATTATTCAATTAGAAGAAAATCATTGACAGAGGACTGGCAACAGTTTTGATGGCTGCTTGTCTTTTTTTTTTTTTTATAGTCAGAACCGTATTTTCAAAAAGGCAGACTACTGCGAGGCAGTTAATTTGTATTCTTGTGGCTGCAGTACCACACCTCAGCCACACGGGAGCAGCAGAGTATACAACACGAGCTACAGTGTACCGGCAAACCTCATAAAAAATGGCGATCACATAAAGCAACCTGTAATTGTGAGTGAATTGCAAAAGGTGGCCTTGAACACATCGCGCTATTAAGTACCTGTTTATCTGCTGCGCTAGTCACACACGAGGTCAGTTACCTTGGAAACGCGTGACCGCAGACTCCCTCAGCGAGAAGAAGATGTCACACATAACAGTTGGACAGCGAACGCCAGAGGTGGTGATCACGTCAAAGATACGGTCCACATAGCGGCGAAGGTTTCCCTGCGGCGAGAAGGTCAATCAGATTTGTCGGATAAGAGCAGCCGCATGCCGACCCTGCGCAGCCACGCGCGGTCGCTTTCCTACCCTGTTTGTCTCCAGGTTTTCCGATTCCTTGAGTTTAACTGGGTCAATTTCACAGGGCTTGTGTTCGGTGCAGATCTGTGAAGAGATGAAATCGAGAGCGCTTTGATACTTGTGTACTCTATACCGAGTTGCTTAAGATGCAAGAAGAGCGTGTAACTTCCAACCTCATCTATGATTGGTTTCAGTGTGACTCGTAGATAGTCCATCCCTGCCAGTTTCATGGTCTCGTCGATGCATTTGGACGTGAGCGAGTTCCCCCGAAAAATGGTGTTTGGATCCCTACGTTTGGAAGGCAGATTAGTCAAAACAGCAAAAAATATTGACAAATTCATTTGACCATCACCTAGTTGACTCAGGGACCATCCAGTATCAAGTGACCCAGGGACCGTCCAATATCAAGTGAAGTGAAGTGCTTTAATAAAATATAAATATTGATCGATGAAACCATTTTGAAAAGGAAAGATGAATTTCAATCCAAATTCACCTTTTTACTCAGATTTGAATCGGTGAGAAATCTGTCTCGCATTGCATTCGGGATTGCGAGTCAGTAAATAAGGGTCATTTAATCATGAAATGGTATTGTGATTTCCTATTTTTAAAATTACAGAATATTTGACGTGATTTAAAATAGATTTAGATTCACAGTGGTAATGTTACAGAAACATCCAAGAAAAAAAAGGGTCATTTCCAATGCTATTCATTGAGGTTAGCAAAACCTGACACTGGGCGATGGTCTAATAAGTTTATTAAGCACTGCACACATCTTCGTGAGATCATTTCTTGAAGCGAATTCAATTCATTATTTACATTTCGTGAAGGACAAGATCCAATAACAGCTTTGCACTTCATTTCAATTGACTTTCTAGTCTGCAACACTGAGCTGGCTTATGGTGAGTATCGATCGGCTCTTCAGACAATTGGCACATTTACAAACACGCGTCCGTCTTTCCGGTGATGATTGCGTCTCCCTCCTTCCAAAAAAAAACCGCATGATTATTAGAGCACTCACTGTGTGCGGTGAACTTCGGCGTGCGCGATGGCGCTGATGAAAGGCACAATCTTGCCATAGTGGAGGAAGAGACGCACGAGCGGTATGGCGGCCTCTTGCTTCTCTCGACACACCTCCCCCAGAATGTTCGCAGTGGACGCCGACACGGGCTGCACAAAAGCAATGTAAACGTGTGGCCTGCGCCGCGTGGCCGGCGAAGATCCACTCGCTCGCTCGCGTACCTGCACGTTAGCCGAGTGCAACAGCAAATCTCTGAGTGGGGTGTAGTGCTCCGAGGGGAAAACGTGGTCCTCGGTGTAAACGATGTTCAGGCGCAGAGATCCGAGCTCTTCCACCTTGACAGACTTCCCTCCGTTTTCCCTGGGCTGAAGATAGTACCTGAGAAGAGAATTCGGCCACCAAATTTTCATTTTTTTCAAAAAATAAACGGATTCGCTTTACATGGAGCTTCAGAATTGAAAATGCCATATAGGCCCCTTTCAAGTACCGTAAGCTAAATAAGGTCACCAATATACAGTAAGAGAAACATTTCGGTACGATGCAGTGCAATTTCGTATTTAGGATTTTTGAATCCTGGACTGTTTATGTTAACAAGAGATAGGATTCGAATCAGATTGAGGGGATATAGCTGTTGTGCAGTGTGCATGTATTAATTTGTATACAGTATGCACAGTATATGAGTCAGGGTGCAACTACCGATTTCATACATTAATATTCAAAGTGTTCACAAAGGTCAATTCATTGTGAATGCATTTGACATGTTGTGCACTGCATTTCATATTTAAGTCCCGAAAATAAGTCCAGGGTACATTTTGGGTCTTTTTACCCCTCACCACAGGGGGCTGAAGTTTACTCTAGAAAAAAAAAAAAAAGGGGAAAAAAAGCGTACCGTTAACGTGTACCATGGAGAGGTGCTGCCGCATCAAATTATTAGTATTAAGAGCGTTACAGTAAATTTGTTTTAAAAGTCCAATCAATTCCTCTTTTGTTGTGGCTCAACTTTGACTACGTTAGCCTTGCCCCCCCCCCCTCAAAAAACGTGATGCTTCTCTTTCCAAAAGGAAGGCAGAAAAGAGCAATGAGATGATGTCCTGTCAGTCGAACCGGTGTGGGACACATCACACCTACCATGCATCGTGGACTCCAAGTTGACCCAAAACTCTGAGTGGAACCCGCACTCCTCCCAGGAACTCATCACCAAACTTCAAGTTGCTCAAATTACACAGGTCCACCCTGGACATAAACCAGAGTGCGCTGTTTTTTTTTTCCCAACACGCAGACTGAGCTGATTGGAGCGTCACTTTGCAAGGCTGCTTTCTCTTACCTCAAAGCCAGTTTGTCCACATCTTCCTCTTCAACATCAAACTGTCGTTTTGTGTAGCTCAAGGGCCGTGTCACCTAAAAGAAGAGGAACCATCAAATAGGATGGGGGGCGGGGCGGGGGGGTGGCGTCAGCGCCAAACTCATCAAATCATGCCTTGTAAGTAGGTCACAGTCTTGCGGGAACAAAACGGGTCTTCCCCGATCTAAAATTGGAATCCTATGCCTCCCAATATGATTCAGTCCATATTGTTGAATACGGCATCGATTTACAGTGCACATCTTAAGAGCCCGGGCATTTGTATCTTGTGTGTCAATCACAGTCTTGTCCTGTGCATCCAAAGAACAATCGAGGCCTTTTCCTCGAGAACCTTCACTCATCAAAAGTCGTCCAATTTCATCTATTGGACAGTCACAGACAGACACACCTTTTAAGGTCGCTGAAACGTTCTGATTCGGAACCGCCGTGATGAAAACAACAAGAGTCTCCGAAAAAGATGATAGGGCCTTCGCACTATCTCGTGGCTCCAGGACAGGATGTTTGCGGAGTGTGGGACAGCAGATAGGACAGATAGCGCAGTAACGCTAATGTGATTAACCAATGATAGCAAACAATCGGCCATTTCAAACCAGAACATTTCCGTTACGAAATGCTCAGAGGATGGATGTTTTGGAAAGAAGCTCAAAGGCACCGAAGCACACGCCGGCTCACGCATATGTACATACGTACGCACACAAACGTACTTGCGTATATGTGTCTATAAGTCGACACGCCTCTGATAAACACGCTCTCAGATGTCAGCCACTTCAACGTTATGCATCCGAATGGATCAATAAAAGTGATTCTTCGGCGGGAGATGTGAATCAGATGCACTTGAGATCAAATCACAGCAAACCCAATCCGTTTAATTGAGTGAGGCTCACGAAATTACGGCTTGTACTCAGTCCCGAAAAAAGGGTTTCGATTGATGAAATGACAAGAACCCTCCCCGCGGGTGGACTTGTAAGGCGTTGATGCAAATTAGAATCTTAAAAAGTCATCGGGGCCGCATTGATTGACTGCTCCGCATCCGTACCTCTGTGCGGCCAGGCTCCAAAATGTTGAGCAGAGCTTCCTTAACTCTTTCTTCTTATTGAGAGACACACACAACAATGACACGCTAAGGTCGACTTTTGTGGCGGAGGCTAACCAACGGCTGAGTATTTTACCTCAAAATAGAAAACTTCATCAAACTGTGGATTATTGGTTTTCCTCTTCACTTTGGTCTTCTTTACTTCTGACCTGAAGGGAGCGGGAATACAGCAGAAAGCAGTCATTACGGTGAGGGCAATGTGGTTTCCAGACTTTACTGCTGTCATTGACATGTTAGATTGCTGCTTTGAATGTCATCCTGCACAGTAACAACCTCCCGAATCGCACGTTGTCGTCCTTTTATTTGGCAGATTGATTGATTTTTTTTTGTCCAGCTGTTACTTTGTTTATTTTGGGTGTGATTACACTTTCAAGCCAGTTCAAACCAATTAGATGGCAGCACACTACTTTGTTTGACACTGTGAGAGGAGAATGAAAACAGGAAGTATTTCAGCTCAGCCAAGTTTTTAACTGGAGTTAACTGAGCGTCAAATCCTCTTCAATCCTACCTTTTGCACCGACAGAAAGCGACAGGTAGGTTCATTTTATCATTTACATCTTTGGGCAGGATTATTGATGTATATTGTGAGATAACAAAAAAAAAAAAAAAAACAGGATTTCTTTCCTCTAAATATGTAAAACGATCACTGTTTGTACAATATTTTTGTTATGCCTTGTTCCTGCTCTGCCACATATGTCATTAAATGTGTTTATATTATTGAAAAAGTATGTTCATGTTAACAAGAAATGAAGTTCAACTGCATTCAGCCGTATTCCCCAAAAATGTGAACGACGCGGTGGCATGGACATGTGATGTGTTGAATGATAGCAGAAACAACTGTGTGCACTGCGGATCTAACCTGGAAGGACCAAGTAGCGAGACAGCAGCATAAGGGTCACATTGGCCATTAACGATGGGAAGACCTTGGCACTCCAGCACTCTGTAGGGACGCAAATGAGACATGTTTTTTTTTTTTCTTTTTCATGAAACACACCTCGCGCTCCGCACCCACATAAATGGAACAAAGGAAATCAAAATCAAAACAAGATCCCGGATACTAGTGGCCGAAACGAGTTTCCTCCACAGGGTGTCCGGGCTCTCCCTTAGAGATAAGGTGAGAGGCTTGGTCTTCCGCGAGAGATTCCGATGCAAGCCGTTTCTCCTCCACGTCGAGAGGAGCCAGATGAGGTGGCTCGGGCATCTGATTCGGATGCCTCCCGGATATCTCACTGGTGAGGTCTTCTGGGCATGTCCCACCGGTAGGAGGCCCCGGAGACGACCCAGGACACCATGGGGAGGCTATGTGTCTTGGCTGGCCGCGACCCGACCTCGGATAAGCGGTCGAGAATGGCCTTCTTTCCACCTTTTAGTTGTCTCCCAGTACACCAGTGGTTTCCTTCTTCAGGACATTCCAAATGGCTGTATTGGCTGTGAGCGATCTGAAACCTTGGCCCTGATTGATTTTCCATCTTCTCTCAACTTCGCAATTGCTTGTTTTTCATCCATAGACAGCTCAATGCTTTTCATGTTGGTTAAACCTCCAACTAGTCAATCAACGGAGTCTTCACAAGCCAAACCGGAGTTTCTCATTGCCGCATTTTATTGAAAACTAGCAAACTCTGACCAAATCTATTTATCCTCTTTGTACTTGACAAATGTGGGAAGGACAGTTCTGCATTTATCTTCCTGTGAGAACACAATCTGTCTAAAACTGTCCCGCTCCCAGATGACATCATGCCGTAACGGGATTATCACCCACACGGGACGAGACACCCGGCAGGACGAATCACTTCCTGTGTGTCACGGTGATGCACTACTAGTCACACAGCCTGATGAATTACACAGTGAATTGCAGCACGTCTCTCACATAGGCGCGCGCACACACACACACACACACACACACACACACACACACACACACACACACACACACACACACACACACACACACACGCACAGGGATTCCTAATAAAGAAGAAAGGCCGGGTTAAGCATCTCTAATGCCAGCGCACTTCCTGTCCAATAAGCTTGTTTATGTAACCCCTGCTTGGCCTACTATCCGGCCCCTCTCTCAACGCCGCACCGAGTTCTGACATGCCGCTCAGACTGCCCAGCAGACATATTTGTTTTGGTTCATGCTACTGGTTTTTATGGTAATGCGCTTGTTTTTGGCGGCCCCCATATCCTGTCCAAAACAATTCCACTCCAGCAGCAGGATAATGAATTAGAGATCACTCCAAAGTGAGGCAAAAATAGCGTGCCGCGGGCTAAGCAGTATAGCAGATGAAGGATAACCTACTACTGGAGCTGATCTGTGGTTAATAGATAACAGATTTCAAACTAGAATGACAATCAGTAACGTTTCTTATTACCTTCTGTGCCAAATTAAAACAAAACAAAAAAAACGTCTGCATGCCTGAATATTAATGATGGATTAAAGTGAATGTACAGTATTAGTGACTGGGAAACTTGGTGCTCTTGGCTCTAGCCACCTTAGCCACAGTGCGTGGGAGCGCAGCCAGCCTGGCTCATCATCGGACTTGTACTACTTCCTACAGGGGAGAAATTGGAACGCACGCACGCACTCAAAAACATCCATTCCAAAGGATCATGGAGCATTCCTTGCTCGCCTGTCGGCAGCAAATACAGTGGAATGCTCTATGACACGCATCTGTAATTCACTCGATCTTTTCCTGGACTAAATTAATCAATTGGGACAGCAAATTCGTTTTGATTGGTTTCTAGCACAGTCCGTCCTCTAAATTCGTGGAAACGTGTTTTGTTGATCAGGTATTGTTGTCATAGCAACCTCTGAATGTTTGGAACGCACGCACGCACTCAAAAACATCCATTCCGAAGGATCACGGAGCATCGTTCCTTGCTCGCCTGTCGGCAGCAAATACAGTGGAGTACTCTATGACACGCATCTGTAATTCACTCGATCTTTTCCTGGACTAAATTAATCAATTGGGACAGCAAATTCGTTTTGATTGGTTTCTAGCACAGTCCGTCCTCCAAATTCGTGGAAATGTGTTTTGTTGATCAGGTATTGTTGTCATTGCAACCTCTGAATGCAGGCAAAAATAGAAGCTCCTGCCTTGCGCTTTGAAGTCGGTGAGGGTAACAAAGTCATCAACGCGAAACAAACTTGCGCAGCTCAAAACTCTCGCCGGTTCAAACCTGTTTGGCCGGCAACCAATTGTCAACTTGGGAAGGTCATGTAACAGGCATGATGAAAAACAGCGGCAAGCATTCATACTTGGACCCTGTGAGGGCCCCAGCACAGAGGAAGCTAGCGTAGTCAAAACCTCCGCAAGAATGTTTACTAGCAAGAGAAAAAAAAAAAGAGTGAACTTTTTTTTTTTTTTTAAATGCCAATCCTCTATCCATTAGCAAAGTGGAGGGCGGCTGTCCTCAAGATGGTGACGGCAGCTGACGGGAAGTGGTGGCAAGTCTTGCCTCGCAATGTTGATGTGTTACAAAACGGCGCGTGTGGACACACATCCTGCAGGTTGACACTTTGTCAGTCTGGTAAATATCGCCTCAGTGTTCAACTTGTCCAACACGAGATGAGTACAACCAGAACGGGAGGCTACTCGATCCGAGTACAGACCTTTGTCGTGCTTTCACAGTTCCCAAAAGTGGAAGAGTCCAGGATTTCAATCCCTTTATCTGCATGTAGAATTTTGTAAAATGCTAAGAGTAGATGACCGGGACGACACAATCTGAGCCTTTGTGTTTGCCAAATTGTAAGAACAACATAAAGCATGCGCAGAGTCTCACCGGGTGGCTAGTTTGTGGTTGATGACGCCGCTGTCTGTGATGACTTCACTCAGACGCAGCTCCAGGTGCACTTTTCCCTGTGAAAAAGGTGCACAAAAGTGGACATGGTTTTAGTTTCAACAAAAGTTACAATTCACAAAGAGGACATGTTCATCTAATTAAGAATAATTCAATATAGTTTGAAGCGCAAAACCTTTATGTACTTTTTGATTGATTTATTTTAATTTATTTTTTGGTGGATCTGGAATGAACCAAAAAAAGGGCATAAATGCAGTACGGTCTACTCGTAAATGTCATTTTCATATTTGCCTCAGAAACAGTATCAATCATGCGTTCCTAATAAATTAGTAAATTGAATTAGTCAGGGCCAAAGTGGTTTCAATGTTTTATTATGTACTTAAAAAGAGTCACGTAATTCTTTGCCGTGACTGTAAACAGCTCATTGGACATGAATTTTAATGAAAAGCATCAGGTCCAGCTTTTACATTGTGAGACCAAAACAAAACAATCAAAAACATCTTTTGGCGGCACATTCAATGATGATATTTTCGGACTTGTTGTCGAATCGACTTGGTTTAACACGTACATCACGTGTGAGAGAAGTGCCGCACGAAAGTCGATAAGACCGCCTTTTATCTTAAGATAAGATAAAAGGCGGCCTTCCTCCATAAATGAATTTGCACGAAACAAAAACACAAGCACGAGGAGCGGCATTCCACCACTGAGAGGAAATAGTCACGCCGAAGTTGTTTTTATTCTGAAGCGATTGGATTAATGGCATAATGACAGCGTGGCCGTACAGCTGTCGAGAAAAGCTCCGTTAATTAACAGCATCGTGATGCAAACTCGCAGGCGTCACACTCTGTCTGAGCGATTTGAGCAAAGGGAGCGGACCGCGGGGGACAACAATGTGTCCTCTCTCTTGAAAATAGAAAAGAGTGGCTCTCTTCCGACTTCATTTGATCCATCTCGCTTGCGTTTTCTCTTTCACTCCCGTTCTCCTCACCCATCCTTCCGCCCGACGCCCCCTTGGATGAATGAGTCTCTGTTCCAGGGCGACACACACCCATCTGTCTGCAGATGTTCCCATTCATTGTGTTTTCGGATCCTGTATGTGTGAGAGCCTCTGTGAGGAACTACTGGGGTGTGAATGTGAGGCTGTGCGTGTACTCCTGACGACGCGTACATCTGGGCGGGAGAGCCGCCGGACGTCTGAATCGTGAATAGCCCAACAGCAACGCATGTGGGAGGGATCAAGCACTGGAAGCTAAGTCCTGAAAAAGAACTTCAGGGCAGCAAAATACCTACAATGCCACATCGTGCAGGGCTCCATTCACATTTGTTGTTCGTTAAGTAGACTCAAGGGGCGTAGCTAGAAATTTTTCAGTGGGGTGGCCTGGGCCAGGGTAACACAACACCTCCACAAAAGGAGGCCAGCGGTTGCTGCACATGCTTCATTCTTAATTATACAATCCACACTCAGGGTTTCATGAGCTAAAATCCACACCTCTCCAGAAAAATGCCCATCACACGCACGATCAAGCCCGGCTAAGTAAAAAGGGATGTTTTGCTAAGCTTAATTTTATTTGATAATGCCCTTTTATTTGCCGTAGCTTTGCTTCTGTGTGCATTTTATTTCATGAAACCGTGACTGCGGATGGTTTGGTAAACAAAGACTTGTCAGCCATGTGGCGTGCTTGCTATGGTTATCTCTGGCCATCATGTAGCTCCACCTCTGAGTACAATCGCAAACATTTTACTTTTTAACTTTCTTGCCTGTCATATAAATGTAAAAAAAAAAAATAGTTCCCCACTAAATGTAAAAATGACTAATGTACTCTTAAAAAAAGGCGGCGATATACGTCTTGAGATTTTCAAAGGATTAAAAGTTAAAAAAGAGAGCAGTTTCGAAGAACCTTAATGGGCTGGATAACCATGACCGTGAGATAAAATATTTTGATCAACTTTACTTTCTTTTTTTTTTTCTTTTTTTTATGAAGATTTAAATCACTTCAAAAGGGCAAGAATAAACGACCAAGGCCGGGAAAAAAAAACGTTTTCCCGCTCAGCTTGAGATGGTATCTTAGGTATTGTGCATGAAGAGCTTTGATGAGAAATGATAGTAAAGTTGAACCCTGCAGTGCAGGTTATTCTTTCTTCAGTCTGTCGGTTGCTCAACAACGAGTCACACTTACAGGAAGTTTCTCTTCAGCTAAACTGACAGCTTGCCACCAGATCACAAAGTAGCATGAGCCCATTGACATCTGACAGGAACAAACTCATCGACTGTAATTGCCACCGAAAGCTTGGGACCGGAGTGGAGCGTTACAATGTAATCTGACAATCGAGCTATAAACATTAGCGCCTATCTTTTTTTTTTGTTTGTTTGTTTGTTTGGAATGTGAGCGATGAGGCCAAGCTACAATTTCAAACTTTTAGGGTAACCTAAGTTTGAAAAGGTCACAAGAGGTAAAAGGTGGATTGGCCCATATGATGTGATGACAGAACAAAAATGAATACCAGTAATTAATTTGTCACTCAACGCCGCTGGTACTTTGTTGACCCAACCACGAACAAGGTACAGCGCTAAGCATTGTAACGTGTTTACGACGGATCCACTGACAAAAGGAAGCAGAAAAGCTTCCAGTAGAGCTATTTAAAGAGTGGAAGACTTTGCGCATTCTCTTTGTGTGTACTGACCTGCACCTCTGAGTCAGCGCTGACAGGCTGGAGCTGGAACCAGGTGTCTTTCCCGTGATATTTCTGCAGGTCTTCTTTCTGCACCGCAACTTTACCTACGCACATCATTGCAAGTCAGAATGACGAATGAGCTCAAAAAAAAAAAAAAAAAAAGGAAGACACGGTCGACATTCAAAGAAATTCAAAACGTTTCAGTTGTGAGCAGGATGAGCGGCTGCGAAGCATATCAAAAAGAACTCCAAATGATCACAGCGCTTCAGTGTTAAAACGGACGTTCTGAGATGTTGCAGAGGCAAGAGGGATGGGAAGTAGACTACTGGCATGTCATTCTCATCATGATCACACATCATCAACATAATCAGGACTGCTAATCAGAGCGATGAAATATTTCGCATTTTAACTTAAAAAAAAAACACTGGAAACACATTTGGGGTTTTTTTTGTTTTGTTTTTCTGACCAAGCAGAAATTCTAAAAATTATTAAGTCTTAATGCCATGTTAAATTGCAATGTCATAGAAAGGGAAAAAAAGACATCTCATTGTTTCAGTTAATTAGGCCTTATTAGATGGAGAAAACTATGTTTGCGTTAAAAATGTGAAAAAAAAACCACGCATATTAGAATTGCCAAATGAGTGTTTCGAGAAAGTTTGTTTTTGACGATATCAACACTGTAGTGCCATTGAAACTTTCCATCCCACCCGGAGTGTAAAACCACAGACTGCCAGCTGCACTTCCTGACTTTCATCTGACATCTGTTGATGCGTACGCCACAGCGCACCCTTTCAGAGCGATGCCACAATAGTAAAAGCGCCATTAAGTATCCCGGTTAAGCGCTTTTCTAATGAAAAGTTTTCCTTGAGAATCGCCCTCGTGCACATCAACGAGGGGTGCGACTTTGGTCAGGGGTTCGCGGAATTAGTGAAGTCGGGCTATAGTGGAATCTTGCTACCGGTGGTCATTTTATTAAACTTCAAAATCCCGCTTGAAGGGGAAATCATGATTTCGAATGTGACTCAAATGCTGTCTGAACATTTTGTTGTTTAGAAATAAAAATTGAAAGTCCCACTCATTTATTCTGCAGCAGTCAAGACAGCCAATGAAATGCATTTATGTAAACATGACTTCCGAATCCTCACGTGTAACTGGTTCGGTCAGTGAATTCCACCTGACCAATCCATACGTACATGAGACCATATCTGAGATGTTTTTGCCCCAAAAACAATTTAGCTTTTTACCCACCGATACTTGAGTCCCTCCTGAAGACGTCCCTGTCAAAGATATAGAAGGAGAGATGTCTGAAGCTACGTGGGATCTCACAATAGAAGTCCTCTCCATAGAACGGACTGTCAGAGAAAGGGGACACAAGGATGAAGAACAAAAAACAGTGTTATGTGAAGGAAGACTTCAAGGCGAAACTAAATCCTCCACATGCGACAACAGTTGTCACCTGAGATGTGAAGAGCGAGCGGAGGTAAAATTACAGTACAGTGGGACAAGATGTAAGAAGAGCCTACGCTGGCACAACAAAATACAACTTGTTCTGTTGTGATTTCACACACAGACAAGCAAGGCGGCTCAGGATTATAAACTTGGCAGGACTTCCAAAAACATAAGATGTGACACAGATGGGATGTTTTTTTTCTTCTATTTGGTGCAGTTAATGTGATTGTTATTGCATCAGATTCTTTCTAAAAATAGCAATCCAATAAAATCCAACACACACACACACACACACACACACACACACACACACACACACACACACACACAACAGGATTGTAATAGCACAGAAGGAAGAATTAAAGAAAATCAGCAAATATTGACATGGATGGAAGCGTTCAAAAATGATAAAGTACGGCACCATTGTGAAAAGAGAACCAATTCTTGTTCAGGTGATCGGCCAGAGGTGATGATTTATTTAGTCGTTATTTATGCTTGCATTAATCATTGAGATCAGTGGCAGCTGGTCAGTAGAGTTCGCTAGGCCGGGGCACTGCCCCACCGCTGATGTGAGTCAGCCTGAGTAAGACTAAAACTCAATCATGAAAATGTAATATAGCAAACATATTAGAAAATACACATGTAGCTATTTTTAGATAAACTGGATACAGTTAACCCATAAGAGCCCAGACCCATTTTTCCAAAAGGTTTTGATGGGTTAAAATCAGACAAAAAGTTTTGAAAAAAGATACTGGGGAGTTCAAACTGTTTGTTACACTGGTGTCACCGTGGGCTCTTATGGGTTAAGGAGGAGTAAAAAAACGTTTGGTTCACCTCAGTTGTCTCATTTTGTGGCATACTTCCAATTTGTGGCGCAAAAATCTTGGCATTAAAAGTGGGACATGCTTAATAGATACTTTTCAATACAAGAGAAAGAGCGTGCCGGAGTGTTAAGTTCCAACACCCACGGAGGAATGCACCCGATTATCACATTGCTGACTGACAAGTGGACCTGTATTTATGCAGTGTCGCATTCAACTGGATTGGGTTCACTCATTGTCTGCTGGAACTGGGTTTCAGGGTTTCATTTTAAATGATTTTTTTTTTTTCTGTGATGCTGTACGTACGAACAGATTAGGAAGGTCAAACAGTTTACGATTTCACTATACTTAATTACCTTTTTTTGGGAGGTGGGGGGGGGGACAAAAAACTAAAACTAATACCAAAACAAATTTAAATTTTTTTTAGTAAAATGAAACTAATAAATTATTTTAAAAATCGAATAATCCTGTTGTAAAAAATAATTCAATCTAACTGACTCAAGAAAAAGTCAAAATGAAGTAAAAAATAACGATAAAAAAACATCCAAAACTATCATAATCCTGATAGGGACAAATACACTCACACAATGACGATAATGTGCTGCATGAAATTGTCCCTGGAAATCTTTAGGGCTGTTCCGTGAGACACAAACAAACCAACTAACCCAGTTCACCAGGGAACAGAAATTTCAGGTTTGTCGGTCCTCACGTCAACCTCACGCAAATCGCCTTCATTCCTTCTAAGTGTTATTTGACGAGAATGTTTCCATTATGTTGGTTGTTGAAAGTTGTGTGTTTCATCGCAACTTCCTGCCCACGCGGCCAAAAAAAAAACCTCAGGAACCAGAAGGAGGCAGGATGGTAAGCATACCAGAGCGACTTCTCAACAATCTTGGTTCTGAAGACTTCTTCTTGGTCCAGATTGACAGTGCAGTAACAGTCCCTCATCCTGTTTGGCCCCGGGTATGGAGGGATGTTTTTGGCTTCTCCTGTACACAGAGCGAGAAGAAGAAAGGTGCGTGAGTGTGTGCTTATGATGCAGGAACGCTGGGGTAAGCAGTAACAAAGTGTTTACTCGGGCACCGATGCTAAAAGTGATTCTTTATTAAAGAACAGCCACAGTAATAAAACACCCTTATATAAGAGTGTACACCTGTTGGTGTTTTGACTGAACCACACATGCTCAACACACACGATCATGACATCATCAAATCCCACAACGTGTGTCAAGAGCTTAGTTCTCGTAGCGTGGCTACTTCTAAACGGGGCACACTGTCATGTTATGCTTGCAGACAACCACTCGGCGGGCATTTCCAACAACGTGCCAAGGTTGTTATTGCGCATCGTGCGTGTGTGTGCATGTGTGTGTGCTTGATGTCTGATCTGTGAATGAAAGGAACCGAGTGGGACACTTCCTTCATCCTGTCCAAGTCTGCTCTATCTGTTCCTCAAACATATGTGACAGATAGCACTCCCTTTCACAAGAATGCGGTCCAACCGCCCACATCGACGCGCATGCATGCACACACGTGCGCGCGCACGCACACACGCACACAAAGGTAGTGTCCCAGTCCCCTCGTGAGGAATATATTCCCCTTCCACAAAGCCTCAGATGAATAGAAGTCAGTTCTTTGTTATGTTCGCCTTCATCCAGGAGACCCACACACACACACTGATAAAAATTGCGTGTTGAATTTACTCCACTTTATTTTTTGTTAAGTGGCCGCACACAATAGAATCATCCGGATGCAGGTGCATTTATGATGAAGTTAAATGCACTTGACGAAATAAAACAGAGTAAATTCCGCACACCATTTTTTTTTTCAGTGCAGCTCAGCAGTCTCAGGGCCACATGTGTTCATTCAACACGCCTCGCTCACATGTGTGCAGCCACATGCAATGATGTTGTTCAGCAACTGAGCTGCAGCAGGTCTATCACCACTAGTAGTTCGCGCTTGGACTCAATGACTCCGCGTAAGAAGGGCACATGTATGTGGTTGTGTGCTTTTAAGTGTCGAGTAAGACTCAATTCTACTACGATGACCATAGATGTCATTAATAGAAAGGTAATGTAACTTGAAACCTTTTGCAGAGTTACTAAATCATAGAAACAGACCAGTGGAGCCATTGTTAGAGACAAACGAGTGCCAAGTAGATCATCTGGGCATTGACTGCATCTACAAATGGTTTGCTGTGAGCAGAGATATAATACACCGCTTTGTTTCCGTGTGCCTGATGGGGGAAGGGGAGAAAACAGCAAACAGATTCTCCCCGTGAAAGGACATGATTGATGAGTCAGTTTATCAGTGCATGAATACTCAAGACATTTCATCAATTTTACACTTCTATGCCTTTCCATGGGGAGCCTTGCAAACCATCTTTTTTCAGAGTGTGTGTGTGTGTGCGTGTGTGTGTGTGTGTGTGTGTGTGTGTGTGTGTGTGTGTGTGTATATATATATATATATATATGTATATACACACACACACACCCACCCACACACACGCAAACACAGTTTCTGTGCACCCAGTGACAGTTTGAAGGACGTGTCATCATCGTTTCGGTGACAAAATTACGCAGTTGAAGAAGGATGCAAGGTGCGTTAATTTATTCACTCAGTCATTTTTCTTATGGAATTGTGTGACAAACCCATTTCTCAAGAGAATTTCTTCTGATTCCCAGTGAAAGACCAAAACAGAAAATTAACGCACACTGAAGAAAATGCTGCGCTGAATTTACTGTTTTATTTTGTCAAGTGGTTGCACAAAAAAGAAAAAGAAGAAAAAAATCTGGATCCAGATGTATCTTTTAAGTAGGTTAAGTAAGTAGACTTCAAAAATGTCTCTGCATCCAAATGATCTGATTTCATTCAACCCTTTGATGTAATAAAATTGAGCTAGTTCACACATTGTTGCAATTGTTAAGATGAGCACGTTGAACCATTTTTACCATCCTCGAAAAATGTGATGGCGTTGTCGGTCCCAACTTTTGACTTTTTTATAAACAGCATGCAATGAACTTGTGGAGCGACCAGCCCTTCCAGCATGGAAGCCATTTAAAGTGAGCAAAAAAAAAATGAATTGCTCTCATTGTTTCATTTGATCAGTGTAAATTTATGGCCTAGATAGAAGTTGTGACTTTTGGGTTACATTGGGGTCATTGGAATGGAACACTATCGTAAACTGAATAGCCTCTCTATAAAAAAAAAAAATGCTGTACGGAGGGTGTGTATGTGTGTATTTTCTATGAATGTACTTTTCTAATTTCTTGAAAAAGTAGTCATGGCATACGATGTGTGGAACTGCAAGCTCATTTACTATTATTTAGACTCTTTAAAGTATGTAAAACAAAACAAATAAGATTGTTTGCCGTTTGGTGTAACTGGATTGAGCCACTGCTTCGCTCATAACTACGGTTCAAATGGCCTCAGGGCATTTGTGCTGTCCTATTTTCTCTGCCATTATCTCTTTGCTCCAGTGACTCAATCAGTGACGCAATGTCGCCTCTTCCTGGATAAATTACGATCGAAAAGACAACCTCTCAGATCCGACAAAGTCTAAAAATACAGACGGCATCGGAAGAATTTTATAAGCATCACTGCATCACAAAGGAAGTCTGTGGCAATGCAACCGAAGGTAATGTGTGCCACTCTGGGGGCTGATTCATACAGCACCGTTCATAAAAACAGCAACAATCATTCACAAAATTCTTAAAGATACCGAGGTTTAAAAGTGGGATTCCAATAACACCCTGGTGAGTAAAATAAAAAGTAAAACGTTTCTACCCATTATACCCATCAAAAGCTGCTCTTTGAAAGCAAAATGGTGGTCTTGCCTCTCGTCATTGTATGTCTTCACTCCTTTCCATTTTTAAATCACCTGAACGCTTCACTTTGCTTATTTATTCTCACGTTCATTCCATCACTCAGCAATAATCCTTCATTTCCAATTCCATTCCAATATTTGTTTTCTTCTCATCCATGACCTAATAGGTCCCTTGGTTGGACTGTGGCATCAAGGTTTTCTTTGTAACCAAACCATCGTGGATTTACTTATTTTTCCGTAGTGTAAAATCTGCCAGAGGGTACAAATGAGTGCTTACACACATTCCATGACTTGTTGTTCTGGGTTCATGTGTTGAAACAGTCAGTTAGATATCGACCATTACAGCTATAACCAAACTCGTCATGTATATTTGGACAAATAGCTAGTTAATTACTTAATATGGTATGAAAATCAACTTGAAACTGGTAAATTTGAAACTCCTGGGATATTATCTAACATCATGACCTTTTCCATCAACTGTTGTGCAACAAACCGGATATATTTTATACTGCTTTCCTGTACTACTACATCATTGCTCTGAAAAGCCATACTTGGGTGTATCTACAGGCCATTTTTTATGTGTCTGTCTATCTGTCTAGCTACCTAGCTAGCAACCTAGCTCGCCAACTAGCTAGCTATCAAGCTTTTTCTCCCTCTCTCTCTCTCTCTCTCTCTGTAGCTAGTTAGCTATCTAGCTAGCTATCACCTACTTATCTACCTACCACACTCCTTTCTCTTTTAGCCTTCTGATTTTCTTTCCTTTTGTAACTTTTATGCCCACAGCTTCAATATTCATTTTTGAAACACGTTTAAACCTCATTTACATTTTTTCCGCATCGCCCCCACCCCCTCTTTTTTTTCTCCAGAGGGTTTGGATTTCATTTTCTCAACTCAATATTAAAAAAACAAGCAGCCAAAAACAACGGCTTTCTCCTCTCATCATGCAAAGCTCATCAGCGCTGCTGTCCTTTTAGAATACCTCGCCCTTGTATGTGAACAAAACACACACTGCTCTTAGAAGGTGTGTGCAAGTGCATATGCACACAAAACAAGATGAGCATATATGAGAGAAACAAACTGGTGCACACGAACACTGGGTCAACTCTCCATCCGATTACATGACTGGAGAGTGAATGAGGCAAAGACGGATGATGCAAGGAAGGCAGCAGGAAGCACAAGTGGCTGAAGCAATGCCCTCAGTGAGATGTGTTGCTTTGTTGATTTTCCTTCTTTGTCGCATGTACAGTTACAGCAAGGGCGACTTGTGGTTCTAATTTCCGGCGAATTGAACGCATCCAAGGATACACGGGCATGAATACTTTCAGTCGCTGTTTGCACAACACGTAAGGAAGACATGGGCTTCAGGAAATAAATGGCAATGTATGCGAAAGGAAATTATATGCAGAGGACTCAGTGAGTTGTGAGGAAGAACAACTACTGTGGAAGGGAAAGAGAGGGGAGTGGAGAGAAGTTAGCATTGGAGAATGCTACAAGAGGAAATGAGATGAGGAGAAAGGAATTTCAACTGGATCCAAGATGTAGCTTGAAAGCAGCAAAAGCCCCACTTATGATCCAGTGTGTGTGTGCGTGTGCATGTGTGTGTGTAGTTTATTTTCACAGTTCGTCTTATTTTGACGTCTAAGTACATATGTCAGCCTTTCTGAACAAAATGTCAACCAATAATGATAACACGATGACACGCGAAAAGTATTGAGGCCACTAACACAAATCTTAAAGAAACATCCACTCTGGTTTCATCAAAAAGTGACTAACTGGTTCCTTGGCTCAATGTCCTGATGTGACATTTCCCCTAACACATCTTGACACGTTCATCATCTTGACAGGTAAACGTTTACATACTTCCAAACCACAAGCAGAACAAGCTTGTGGCAGTAGTATTTGTGCAAAGAACATAACGATGGCAACAAAACAATCATTACCTTTTACTTACAATGACAAACACTATTTTTTTTCATCCTTAGATGGTCAGATGGAAACCATCTTTGGTTGAAGTGGTGTTTCTATTTTGAACACAGTATTTCCGTTGTGAACGCAGATGACCCCTGATGGCATCACCAGGGTTCTTTGGTAATTATGTGACTCATTCCAAAGCCATTGAATGTCAAATATGCAAACTGCACGAAACTTCTCTTCCAGTTCTAAAACC